CATATTCATTCTCCCTCTACCCTCCCCCCCCCCCCCTATGTCCACCTAAATACTCTCCCAGCTTCCGCACCCACGCCTTGGGCATATCAAGCAGTTGTACCTGCACACTGGTGGAGAAGAAGGTGTTCACAACTGGAAGATTCAAATGCCTGGCTAGTTGATCGACATTCGGTAGATGGGCACCGTCGTCACGCACCACCGCCACCACATCTGACCTGAAAATAGCGTGAAGAATAATTCCCACTTTTTAGAAAAGGAAAGCGGAATAAATTGACATCTGAACTCCATCAGCAAGTGATAGTATGGCTGTGGAAAAGTTAGCCATACAAGCGTAAGCATATCTTCAAGCATTATCGCGCGCCATGTGAGATAACCCATAACCCACAGAAAGCGCAGACAGTTAAGCGAATCGCTCAGTTCGTAAAGTCTGACACCAGCCTAAGGGTACGGTAGTAAGCTGTGTGGTTTGAAGAAGGCGCGATTGTTATCAAGACTCTCACAGAATTACACCATCTTCGTTGGCTACAGTAACTTTCACAAGTGATACTGAGTTTCGATTTTTGAGAAAACGTACGGCCATACTACAAACTACGACTACTTCGAAAGACTACATTCTAAGAGTCGATTCCATATTTCTATACTTGTTCGAAAAATTAGCCCAAGGCAAGGGATCAAAGAAAGTAGTGCTCAGAAGGAATTGCAAGGATTTTAGCTCACTTCTGGATGTTGGTACCGGATAATAATTCAAAGAGATCAGCGACGGTCCTCAAATCGGAAGAGCAACTGTCGATGATTACAGCTCCCAGTGACAGCCCAGTGTCCTTCAGAACTCGTTGCGAATTCACCTATAAAAGTGCAGAATTTGATTACGTAGTAGTGATACGGTAACACTGAGTTTTTCACTTGAGAAATTTTCATAAGGTGAGGAGGATAGAAACGTACCTGATTCAGTGCGTCGAGAAATGCGCCCAGTCTTAGGAAACCATTCAGATCCACTCGGCCACATTCGAATCCCTGATAAGAGAACTGATAAATGATGGGACAATAATCATGTATAAGTAGAAAAACGAATGCTAGAAAATTGATGTTGATTTCTGAACCTTTTTAACCATATTTTATCAATTTATCAATACCAAGATTTCCAAGGTAAAGGCACGGATGGCAATCAGATCATTAGAGCAGCTCTCCTGTGAAGGAGGTAGCAGGGTTTCTAGGTACCAGAATCAGGGCACTGTCGCGAGCGAAAAAGCCGCGACGAGGGCGTTAAGGCCCCAGCTGCCATTGTGACTTCCGCAGCGTACGCAGCACCTGTGCTCTCTTGTACGACGTGCTCTCTCGCGTACTCCCTCTTCGCCACGCTGTATCCCTATCCACGATCAGCCTCTTAAGAAAAAAGTTCTTAATTTAAGTTTTCAATGGCTATATTGGTTTTGCTTTTTTTCTCAGTGACGGTCTTCTTCGTCTTTTTTTCATTCTCGAGCTAAACATTCATTTACTTTACACAACAATTTGATCGTGACCTCTGCCTTTAGGAGCACATTTCACAATTGAATAGTTTAGAGCAATTTTCCTCCGAAGGAACTTACTTGGTTATCTGCAGATTCATGAATAGGGATGATGGCAAGGATGTAGAGGCGTCGACTAGAGGAATTACAAGGATGTCGTTGAGTAGCCGATGGCTGGGCACGGAGACATGTGCTGCAGCACCGGGAGCTGTCTCATTTTTGACGGGACTGAAACAGATAATTGGATTCTACAGGAAGTGGTAATAGTTAACAACAGTATTTGGACGTTTAAAGACAAAACCCAGGCTGAAATTAGTGAACTGAATTCCTAGTGCAGGAAAGGTGGAGGGATGGCATGTACCTACTACTCTCAGGCACGAAATTGCCAGGCAATGGTGCAATAGCAGTGCCAGACTTTGCGACTCGCGCGATTCGCTAGCAATTGATCGTGAAGTCCGACATCCGCCTTAGCGCTCTTTGCCACAAATCATCGTGTTATGAATATTCTTCAGTTTATACTGGATTGGAACTCTGAAAGCTACAAAAGAACATCTGCCTCTCATGTGAGGCAAAAATAATGGACCGTAATGTAATCGTACTTTTTTCTGACAATTTTCACTATTCTCTGACTAATTGAAGCTTGGTATTTTGGAAAGGATAAAGGATAAAATAAAGCATTTGCCGTTGATCAATCCCGTTTTGGGATGCGGCACGCATTCTACTTCCATTTGTACATTCGTAGTGGCGTTTGAATGCGATGTGGCCTATACAATGACTTGCGGGGGCCAGCCGATGTACAAGTCAGTGTTTTTATCCTCCCAGACAAGTCTGGTACCAATTACCGACCCCGGATGGAAGGGATGGTTGACACGGACGAAGCACGACCCAGCGAATGTCCATTCCCGGACCACGCACGTGGGAAGCGTGCCACTTGCCGGCACACCAGTTGCGCCCTTTATGAAAAGGACCTCGAAAAAATCACTACTATCCGCTATTTGTTGTGCTTGTTGATATCTGGCTGTATGTGTCGTCAACGCTGCAAATGCGACATGCCAGTCGCAAGGAGGAAAACAACTCTGTTCACCCCACCGTAATCTGACTAAGAAGAAAGCCATTTCAATATCTTCTCAGCACATTGTTGAACATTCACCGTACTGAAAGTAGTAAGGCTTTTCAGTACTGGACTGTAGGAGAATTTTTCGCGACATAATGAAATTTTCTCACATTTTCAAAAAATCGCAACTTTAACGAAGGGGGGTCTACAGAGGCCCGGAGCAGCTGAACTATTTCATTAATTTTTTTTTCGATCCCTCGGCCTGCAATTCGATGACGATTCATCGAGATGGCCTTCGGCTGCTCCTTTTTCGCCTGAGCTCCAACGGCGCTGCTTGTAGAGAGACGGTCTTGAAAACCAAGAAACGATGGGCTCTGGGGACTATCCCAGCGCGTCGATACGCTATCGTTGGATCCCTCGCTTTTCAATCTTCCTCTCAACCGTGGAACTCTCAGTGACTGACGAAGAGGAGGTCAACGTCAGTTTCGTCTGATGGAAGCCGATCTTCGTCAGTCGATGTATTGTGTAGTAGAATTGTTCGGGTTCCACTCGACCACAGTCCTGCACGGTTTGGACAGAATCTGGAAATATGCATCGGGGCCTTTATTCGAGTTATTCTTGGACCACCTTCAGGGAAGAGTCGACACGTGCTTGGCTCTTTTCAGTGGAAGCATCTCGAAAACCTGGTCACTGATGGAGAGAAGTGAATGCTTTACGCAAGTCAGAACAAGAAGCGAAGGCGGCTTGTCGGAGAAACGAGAGCTTCGACGCCGAAACCAGAACTACACAAAAAGGAAGCGTTAGTGGAACACACAGGGAGTAACCCACTGGAGCTGCTGGCAGATAGAAGTACGCTCAGCTTGGTTACCACTGAAAACAGGTGGATGTGGTAATGACGAAATTGAGGGGCAAAAAGGGAAAAGAATCAGAAATTCCACAAAAATATCTTGTAAAAAATATTTTTTCCAAAAATACAAAAAAGCGAAATATTGAAATGATTTCATGCGCTCACCGTGATGATAACTTGCTCATCTTTGGCTTTGTCTTGTTGACAGGAGCTGATAACATCAACATGGTAGCCGTCTAAACATTCAGTTTTAAAATCCACACAAATCCAAGATAATGGACCTCCTTCACCACAGATTCTTATCAACGTTATAGCAAAAAAGGAAATATCACAACACCTAGAGGGTCCACATCGCTCTTGTATGGTGGGTTGGATCGAATCCTACTGGACTACCCTGAGCGACCAACCCGTCCGAGCTCAGATAAACTGTTACCTTACCGATCTATCAGCGAAAATACTATTCTGAACATGTTAGTCCACTAGCCAATTGTATTGATACAGTGAGCATTCAAACACTTCCACGAAGCTATATGAAGGTGGAATGCGTGGCACATTCACGAATGTCATTAATGTCGAATGCTTCCTACTTTATTGCATTAACCTGGTAAACTTGACTAGCCTCAGCCTACCCCCCCCCCCCCTCCTAGACAAGTAAAAGATGAAGAACGCTCTTCTCGAAAATAACCATTTTTGGAGCTGTGGTGCGGTGGGGACAAATGGTGGCGCTACCACCCATGTCGCAAAGATCAGTTCTCTTACTCGATCTCGCCCAGCCTGCTCCACTGCCCTCGAATCCTTCACCGACTTTCGTACCTGTTTGATTGTTACCAGATGCACCAGACGCAAGCGAAAGAATAAGGCTAGAATCTTGAGATCTTCCCACCTCCTGCCTCCCTCCAGGTCTATAAGTCACCGCATGTATGGGCCCAATACGTATTCAAATGCCACTTCGGAGGGGGTTGAGTACGCAGCGGGCGCTAGAAAGGGCGCTAAACGCATTCCCATCGTAGTTTCTCAGTTTATCCTTTCAGGTTACCCCACACAGCTGACTTAACCTAGACTCAAGTCAGAAGACAATTACGTAACACCTATATATACAATGCTTGAGGAATGACCAATGTTCAAGTCTGCTTCCGTTTTTAGAGAGTCTGACATCAACTAGAAGACACAGAGATGTAAGGACTCGATCCTGAGGCCGTACATTTGGTGGCAGCACCTCTTGCCACTTGCCCATTTTCGAGAGTACAAAGTAAGCTGTACAAGTATCTCACCGTTGTTGTTGTTGTTTGAGGTGTGGTACGAGGTGGAGAATACTGTTGGACAGCAGCGATTGGAGCGCTCTTCACTTCCAACGGTGTCGTTTCAGAAGCAGTGAAAACGTCTTCAAAAATCGGAAACGACGGTGCCTCGTTGGGATACGGTGGCTCGAATAGTCCATCTGGTGGCACGAGAGTCGGTGTGTACTCTTGATTAAGCTGCTGATAAGGGTTGTAGGGCTGTGTGTAGGTAACCCAGGTAGTAGGCTGTTGTTGTTCAATCGTTCGTAGAGGATTGTGAGCGGAAATCCAAAGGCGATACACAGGGAATGAGCAATACAAGCGGTAGTATCAGATGATGCATGGACAGCTGTAGCTGAAATGCTGCCTGTAGTTCAAGCAACGCTGACAATCGGATCAAGGAGGAGGAGCTGAGGCGGCCAGCGCTTGCTCACTCACTTTAATTTGTTTTATTAGGGACAGCGCGAAAATACCTCATCCAACACGTGCGCTACGCATTCGGTGTATGTGTGTTCACCTCATTAGCGGACCAACTTCTCAGGTTCCTCACCACTGGTCAGATGCTTTGAAAGGCCGCCACCGCGTTTGAGAATGGAAGAACTTAAGGACGAGGGTCATCGCGCTGGTGAAACTAGCAAGAGAACTTATAGGGACACGGCTGAATTGCTTAATGCTGACAAACTTACTTAGGTCGCGCAACGTACGCTATTTTTTTTTTCTCGATCGAAAATTTGAGCATTTTGATATTGTAGCGCCCACAATGATCCGGGATCGACCAGTACATTACGCAAGCACATTTGGGCTTCAAACAGAATTCATCATTTCGCTGAACAAATTTTGTGGTCCGGTAACTTTCTATCACCCCCCCCCCGACTTCCCACCACTCCTGAAAAGAATCCGAACAACCCCAAGCATAACTACAGTATTCGTACCTACCGCCTTCCTACCCTCACAACTGCAACTCATCAAATGGCAAAATAAATTTCACATTTCCGAGTTTTCTTAAAACTACCTGAATTTTAACTACATTTTATAATCAGTTTTTTCCACCTTCTCAAGAATATTCCCGTTCCATTTCTTCTGGAAATTACAATCCCCACTCATCAACATCACAAATACACCTTCTCGCTTCCGATGATCACGAGATAGCGACGGCCTCGAATGGAAACTGCTGCAGATGGAGTATTGGTGATTTTGGACAGGAGCCATGCCATCCCAATACTGAGGCTGGTACAATCAAACTGGCACTCAAGATTGAGAGGGGGGGGGAAATGATACTTTTCAGAAGTAACAGAGGTCTGTTTTCCCCTCCCACATTCAAGACTGAGGTGACTTCGAAAGCGGATGCTTCTACAAAGAAGAGATAGGCACTGTCGCATCCCAGTGAACACGTCCCACATGACCTTTTTTGTGGGCGAGAGCACCAAACAATTTCCTAGTGGCATTTTGTGTGGGCGAGAGCGTCAAGAAAATTTGCCAGAGAATTTTGTACAACGCTCGAGCTCAACGAGTTCCTCGGTGAGTCACAGTCCAAAACGACGTTGTCCGAAATGGAGGTCGGCAGATAGCTGACGTCGGCATAATCAGAGCTGCTGTGTATGGGGAACTGCACACCACTGTAACAATCGAAGAAATGAGGTGGCTTTTTTTTTCCAGCTGGAGCACTTACTGTAGATCTCCTTAAGCTCGACGCTAATGGCGGATGACTTCATACGCCGAAAAAGATGAGGGCAGTGAAAGGGCTCGTTTCTGCATATGGAGGGACATTTCGGAAAAATTTTGTCAGTTTTTCAGGAAAATTTGTCAGGAGAGTTATTTCAACGGTGGCAATCAGTGCGGCGAAAGGTTTGGCGACACACACCGCAGACAAGAAGCCGTTTTTTGGCCCCCCCCCCTTCCCCTCTCCCTACTCCCATATTGATTGCAAACCTTGTGTCATGCAAATGATCCTGCCATACTTAAGCTATTAAACCACTCTTAAAGGCACAACCCAGGCAGAGGTTTTTTATAACTCTTCTCTTCGGTCAGAAGTATAGAACCCTAGGGGACAATCACAAATGTGGCGTTCACGTGCACGGAATTCGACCGACAAGAACGCTTTGGGCTTGCAAAGTAAGCTGCTCGAGCTGCAGCGAACGAGCTCTCTTATCAGGCCGTTGTCTGGTGCTCTCTCATCTGTGCGCTCTCTCGCCCCATACTCTCCTCTTCGCGCTTAGTCTCTCGTTCCTTTAGCACAGCCAATTAGGAAGGTGAGTGAGCCCTCAACCTGAGCGTTTTCGACGGATTCTTTTCCTTTTTTCTTCACTGCCGGCCCACTTGGCACCGATACATTCACATTCGTGTGCAAGAGCCACACCAGTGCGATCCTGGGGCATGCCTTTAAAACAAATAGGTTCACTTCCGCACTCCTGAAACTGCCTACTTTCGCGAATTTCAATTGAGAAGTTGCCTCGAAAAAAAACGGTTTTTAAAGTCATACACCGCCAGCGCTGGTCATATCTCATTTCACACCGCCGATTGTTAGCTTTTCGTGCGACTCCGCGCCTAATTCGTGTAATCCGCTCTGTTCAACAGCACGCCGCAACATTTATGTACTGAACCCGTTCACCCGTTTGTAAAGGGGAACATGGTTACACTAGCACACGGGAAACAGACTGAGGAGCTGTCTCGTTTGGAACTTACTTTTGGCACATTACTCATGGGGCGACAGCATTTTATACGAAGTTATTACGACCCTAACAAATTGACACTAGTTTAACATATCTCACCCCAACTTTTCAAAAATTCAAGATGTAATTTCCTCAAAATTACCTCCAATGTTGAATTTGACTATATATTTGCGCTCAAGGATCCATAGGAACCTGACGAACAAAACACCACATTCAATTGTCGAAAAAAAATACATACTTAGCGCTTGCGCCACAAGCGCCGGCGCTGAGAGGTGTGAAAACATTTCAGGACGCCAGATTTGGTGAAAACTTGCGAGGAGAGGTATTTGGGTGCATTGAGTGCTAATATCAAACTCGTTTGCCACTCAGGTGCCTGGAATTCGCGCCAAACGAATGCGATATCGCTGCATCTGAGGAGCGAACGTCAAATTCTTTCTCACCAAATGGACGGATATTCGTGTTCTACGGGTCACTATCTCCGAGTACCAATTTGTGGGCAAATTCAACTACAAAGGCAACTATCTAGGAAAAAAACCGTTCCAAACTTCGGAAAGTGTGGCTGCAAAGGGAGAGGGCACCGCCGCCAAATAGTGTACAGGAAACTTCTGGAAGAAATCTAGAAAAATCAAAGCATTCAACTATCAACAAAACAATCGGCCCTAGCTCCTGTATGTAGTCCATGTTAGAAACTCACACACTTACAGAACAATGTAAACATAAAGCGTCCCGTTTTTGGAAAGCTCGGAGATATAGCTACGAATGGATGGTGTTAATTCGATACCTAGTGTATCAGGCAAAATACAGATCAAAATACAGAAAGGTTTCCCAGTTCGAATATCCGATATTAGCTCGCCGTAAGTAGCGGTTGCGTTTATTCCATCCCGTATCACATAACAAATTTTGCCTTTTATATTTTCCCATTTTTCAACCGGAAGACAACTGCTTGTACTTAGTCTCTTGTTTGCTGTTTCTAATCATAAGATTACTTCGTATTATTATTACTTATTGGATGGATTTTTTCCGATTATTTCAGCAATTATTCATTGCCGCGAAAGGTCGAATTATAAATAAACAGAGACAAACAAATCTAGTAAAGTATCTGAACATGGGGCTTCCGTTTTCTGTTCGAAGACAACTAAAATAGAAATAAAGGTCAATTCGCTCAGCTCCTACCGATCAGCCGATTTGCGTGCGAGGCGCAATGTGGAGCATGTTCGGGAACAATTGTCTTTGACGCGAATGTCAACATCTCAGAACTGCCGCCGTCTGGTGCTTTTCTTTGACAGTAGCCGGTTCCCAGAAGAATCTCAAAAAACGAGACTTGCAGAAGATTAAATGATTTTACACCGTATTCATGATGACAAGCGTCCACTAGAATTCTTCAAAACTTGTCAGACACCTACAGTATCACCGTAGGGATCTTGTAGATGAAATAGAAACTACAGTAACCCACATTTCCTAATTTCGCCTGGACCACAGCAGAACGTTAGAGCCATTCCGCAGCCAATGGCTGGAGTGTACGAGTGTAGGAGAACGTCTGGCTTAGTATTCAACATCAGGCCACTGTCTAGTCGATCTAGTCGTCAGTGATCGCAGACAACAGAGGAAAATCGACGCATGTGTCACAAATATTGCACTTGGAGCCGCAGCGTTGCCTAGCCTTTTCACGGCAGTCTTTTTCGCCATTTTTCTCAGTGAGGGACCATGTGGAGCAACGCTTTGTTCCGCCTACAGTAATTCCAATTTTGCGGGGAGAGGAGCTCCGCAATGGGTGCACAAGGAAGAAGAAAAGAAACAGTTCTGGGGAATCTGTCCCCTGCGAAAGTTGGTATTTCTGAATGGACGCGGTAGGACCTGTCACGTCGCATCACAGCACCCCCCCCCCCCCCCCTTAGGCCGATGTCAAGGATTTAGTGCCATGAATATCCCTGCTCTATTACTAGTGCCACAAAAAGGTCGAATTCTGCGCAAATTTCACTCCGCAGCAGGATGGAAATAAGAGGAACAAGTACATAGCAATCACAACAACAGCACTTAAGGAGTGCAAAAACTTAGACAATGATTTAAGTGATTCCCAAGAGAGAAAAGGAAATCGAACATTTTGCTGCGTTTTTTGGTTGCGCCATGCACTTGACCCCACCTCAACCAAGTTTTACGGACCACCTTAACGGGTACTTGCCCGCCAAAGACCAGTTCACTACACTAGTAACTGGAAGTGCAGTGATATCAAACATAGATGCTGGATGCTTGACCCACCTGAGAATATTCGATCTTATGAACTTTGCAAGCGGGATTTGCGTGCCAAGCGCCATACCATTTACATGCATCCTATTTTATTCAGATATTATTGAAAAAAAAAACTACCAAAACGCTCGTGAGGCCTTTCGGGAGAAATTTCTGGTTTGGGCCCTAACCAGATTCTTAGATCTGAACAATGCAAAATGCAACATTTTATCCCCCAGTGACAAGCATCTCATGCGAATAACATCATTAACAATAACAACGATGTCCATTTGTAATCGCAAAAAGATTTCGACAAACAAAACAATAACAGCCAGCATCGAATGCTCAACTCAACGATTAGACTTGGCTACTCGTTCCAACTCGTCCTTCTTTTTGATCGCATAACTATTCGACGAGCCTTTTGCCGCGTTCATGATCTCATCAGCCAAGCATTCAGCGATCGTTTTGATGTTACGGAATGCCGCCTCACGAGCTCCCGTACAAATCAGCCAGATTGCCTTCAAAACAATCAATCGGCGATTGTCATAGAATATGGTCAAACTTTTTAGTACCTGGTT